CATGATTGGAGATTTAGAGCTGCTCGTATATATAAATTTTGAGGATCAAAATGCCGCATTTGAGTCAACTTCTATGGAGTTTAGAAGGAGCCATCTTCATTAGGCTCTGAATGTTTTAGCCTTCTCCGTTGTATGAGAACCATCCAAGCTCTCTCAAATTATCCGAGTTCCATTTCTACCTACCTAGAGAAGTACAAGAACAGAAATAGGAACAGTCGTGGAACGATACAGACTTCAACCAGTCTCCGGTATGGTTCATTATACGATGAGACCTCAGTAGAAAACGACATTTGTTCTTCGGAAAATTCTTGAGAGGACAAACCGACATTCAGCATTCAAGGTTCTGTGCCATTCCTCAGTTTATGAGTTTCCAAAGATTTTGGGGGCTTCGGAAAGTGTTTCCCTGATGCATTCAAATGATCTAGTTACTTTTTTATGTCGGATTCGATGTCTAGATATTTCTACCTGCAGACGGAAAGGGGAGGATTTTGGAATGGCTCAGCATGAAGGGCAAATGGGTCAACACGTGCTCTCAGAAGCATTCAGTACATTGGTGTACTAACGACGCTATTGGCAACAACTTAACTTGGGGGCTATCTACTTTCATGACTTATCGATGAACAAATTTCGAACTCACTACCTCTAAATGCTTCAAAGTTGTGTTGTTACCTGGGTCACGTGTGAAAGATGCCAAGTCGGAGAGTTCGTTGCTCCATTCTAGCGCTTTTCATTGGACAATCCATAGGTACATGTGGACTTTGCTAGGCTGTGTTTATTCTGCGCCAGCGCAACGGTTTTCATTACTATCCATATTTACGTGAAAACCAATTGGTCTCATCCTTCACCCATTTATCATCCTTGGTGACGAATTCCTCACATGTCGGAAATGCGTTGGATCATGCACAAGCCGCTGGGGTTTTCAGTGAACCTGTCCTGTCAATTGGATCGTTTAATATGATGGAAGTACGTACAGTCTCACCGATTCTTCATTACATGGCGGCTCTCATATAGCCAGAGCTTCATGGCGGAGTTAAAATTGAGTTTGTCCTAAAAATACTCTATGAGGTTGTCCTTTGGATCTTGTGTCAAAATGGCAACTATATATAAGGCTTACAGCCATGTTCAGTCCTGTTATCGTCCGTATCTATATCCAGTCTCGATTGCAATACACCACTTGCTTTCAGGTTATGCATATCCCTAAAAGTCATGTCTTCCACGACGACCATAACCAGCAGTGCCTCGACAATTGCATCTGCAACAGCATCATGTATCAACGTCAGGCCAGATAAAAATGGTCATGTATCCGAATGGGCTTGCAGTATGTACTTTCCTTCTCACCGGAAATCGACGGCTAATCATAGTAGATGCCAACTATAATTTTTATCCATCGCTTGCCGCCGCAGTTGTCTTCACGTTACTATTCTTCGTCGTTACAATAGCGCATCTCTTCCAAGCTTTTTATCACAAGAAACTAAGACTATGTTGGGTATTGATTATGGGGTGTACGTGGGAATTTATGAGTTTTGCGATACGCTCAGCTGGTACGAAAATGCAACAGAATGTTGCTCTGGCCACTGTTTCTCAGATTCTGATTTTACTTGCCCCTATGTGGTTCAATGCCTTTGTTTATATGGTTCTAGGACGAATGATTTACTTCTTCGTTCCAGATCAGAAGGTTTGGGGCATCAAAGGTATCCAGATAGCCAAGATCTTCGTATGGCTTGACGTGCTATCCTTCACAACACAACGTAAGACACTTCAGTCCATTAACGGAGCTTTTTCCTAACTCATTGCATAGTTGTGGGCGGTATACTAATATCTCCCGGCGCCAATGCAAATATCTTAATGACCGGTACCCATATCTACATAGGCGGTGTTGGATTCCAAGAATTTTGCATCCTGCTTTTCACAGCCATTGCCATCAAATTTATGTTCATCATGCAGCAACGAGAAAGATCTATAGGAGTTAGTGCCAATCAAATACTAGATCAAAGACATCGCGGTTGGAGACCTCTCTTATATATCATATTTACATCTCTCGTCCTAATCACCACACGAATTATTTACCGCTTGGTAGAATTTTCAGCTGGTCTTGATCCAAGCAAGAATCCAATACCATATCATGAATGGTATTTCATGGTTCTTGATGCTTTGCCTATGTTGATTGCAATTGCATTGATGAATGTTCTTCATCCTGGTAAAATATTAGTCGGCGAAGGAAGTGAGTTTCCTCGATTGTCGAGAAGAGAGAAAAGGGAAATGAAGAGATTGCAGAAGTTAGAAAGAGAAGCTGCAAAAAACGAAAAGAAGGCAATTAAGATGGGAAAGAAAGATGCTGTTATCTATATCAGTTTAGATGATCCGACAAGTACCCCTCCTGGTTATTCAGAAAATACCAGCTATCCGGGTTACAATCACAGGTATAAAAAGTGAGTATTTTGGAAGATAAAGTTCTGTATATATGAAAATGATTAGTTGTCGCACATTGGAGTGGTCTCGTCCTCCCGTGAAAAGCTGAAAGTGTCGGTGGTCTTGTGTTTGGGGACAACACGTGTATACCTACTCATCGGCAAAGTTCCGATGATTCCACCGCATGAACCGTGAATCTATCTTTTGAGGCTTCAACAACTGTCAAATTGGCATTTGATTCTGCATAACAAATTAAAATTCGATTGCTTGATCTGATTTTCTTTCAATCTTTATTTTTTTGCGATCAGTGGATTGCATATGATTCTATTTAAAAACTTCTTCGTCCCTTACTTCACGCGCAATTCTCGGGGACTTGGTAACACAATGGCTTTGTCAAACGCAAGTATCCGAATGCAGTGTTCCACAACACAATTTCGCACTTTCTTTTGCTAGATTTAGACAGTATCTTGTAGAGACAAACAATACAGATCCACGTTACTCCCTGTTGTTAATTGAATTTCTAGACCTATAGAACTTTTTTCGGTGCTACTTACATTCCTTGTTCCCACACGAGTATCTTGCCTCCTCGGTTCAACACACCTCATTTTGCATGCCGTGGGTATTTTATATCACTCTTGTTCAACATCAAGCCATGGCACTCGTAATGCAAGCCAGGGCTTGGTTTAAACGCATCGGATTCGCTGAATTGAGCCATTATGTCTTTCCTCGAACGAACATTAGACCAGGCGTTCCACAATAAATCGACCCGGAAGATAACAAAATATGGAAATCGGATAACAACTCGACATACCCAGACATGAATAATAATATGACATATTGAAAAGTCTCCAATATACATCGTCTTTCACGAAATTACCTCTCACTCGCCATTGTTATGTATTGAGATTGAGATTTGAAGTTGAAGATGGGAGTTCTCATGGAGCGAATGGCGAAGGCATCGGCAAATGAACCCAGAGCTGGAACAGTTTTCTCGATTATTTTATCTATGATATCAATGGCAGTTTTGGCAATTTGTATGAGTAAGTCTATCCACCCGATAGAAAAAGCTGCACGATTCGCGAGATACTAAGGCTCTTATGCAGCTCGTCGCGTTCAAAATGTACAGGATTGGTCTCGATACCCTCTCGTTTGTTGGTGTAAGTTTGGAGGGATTATCTACAAAGCTTTTATTGCTAAGAATTTGGCACTAATAAACAAATTGAGCAGTGGTTCTTTTGATATATTTTGATTCCCTAGTATTTGTTCTTGGGTCCGCAGTTGTTTCGGCGGGGTTTGGTGTCAACTATTCACAGTATATGTGCTCCAATGCTATTATACTATGCTTGTCTTGTTATATGACGACCAAAGTGAGTATTGAAATCAAGGAATCAGATTTGTTGTTTTCTGGTTCGACTCTGGGCTCTCAATTTCCAATGATATATCCAGCCAGCTGTACTTACACGATATTCTAGGTAGTAGGTTTTCTTCACTGCAAGCGACCGCAACATTCACTAAAGCTAGTAGCTCATCTACTATTTCCTCGTTGAAAGGGTTGTAAGTTTTCTCTTCCCTTTTTTACTCTTATACTTACTAAGATAACAGTATATTATTCGTCGATCGTCAAAACCGCGCATCAAAGATCCGCTTTACCTCTTCAACTCGATTGGAATGCTAAGTTAGTCACCTGATTTGTATGCGATGGTTCAAACGTTAATCCTCTTAGTTCCTTACTGCATAGTCATCGCGTTGAATTTTATCTTGTGAGTGTGGCTCCGCGTCTTTGTTGGAAAGGAGCTCTTGTTGATTCAGATTCCAAAGCCGATTTGCCAATTATGAGAACGGTGAATGTCGGATTGGTATGAAACAAGTCGCGATGATACCTCTTATTGTAGGTTTTTTGTCGCCTATTATTCTAATCCTTCGGTTTCCACTCGAGGATTATGTTTATTAACATTCGGTAGGCCTTCGATATATTAGTCAACGTAAGCCCATAGTGTTCGCTGTAGTCAAATATCAGCTTAACATATATATATATAGGTCTACCTAACGTCCTTGTTTCTCGTTCCACTACAAGGTGATTTTGCATCGACAATTCTTATCACTCTTCAACTAATTCATATAGGCTTGTACTCCTACAAAAATAACCCAAACTCACAAACACGTACCGTCGCAATCCGCACTTTTATTGGAAGTTGTTGTGCACTTACTTCCAGTGTCGTGTAAGTTACTTCCCCTGATCATTTAGAATGATAGCTGATAATTTCCCAAGTAATTTGACTTTATTATTGGTGCTGAAAGGCGAACCAGGCTGGATATGTCTCATGTGTTGTAATCTCGACAGTAAGCCTCTATCTCATCTTCTCTTTACCAGAAATCCTTCAAAAGACTCATAGATATATCTAGTACTCTTCAGCGTTCTAGTCCTCCACTGGATAACTTCTAAAGACAATGCTTCCACCTTCCTCCCGCGTCGTTCTCACTCACACGCTCATTCACATACCTGTTCCTACCCTACGATCCGTACTAGCACTCTCCCTTCTCCTATTTCTCCCCATCCACTTATTTCCAGTCCTCGTTCTATTCCCGAGAATATGGGATTTTCAAATCGAGATCATTTGTTTACGAGCACGAGCGGTATGAATGGTGCGACACTAGATGGTTATAGTTATGCGAGGGATGCTATTGATTTACCGACGGTTACGACGACTGTGACTGCAGGTGTGGTTGTGGGAGATATATTGGATGAAGAACAGGAAAAGAAAATAGAGGGCTCGGGAATGGAAATGGAAATGGAGAGACGCGGATCAGGAAACCGAAAATGGCGATTACGGTTGAGAGGGATCATGTGAGGGAGGTGGTAGAGACGGGAATTAGAATTGTGAATGATCGTGATCATGAGAGGTTGATTTTAACGCTACCCAGGAGTATTAGTGGAGGTGGGGGGAGTATGGGGATTGAGATTGGAAGTGGGGAGAAAGAGAGGGGGGGTGGAAGGTCAGGGGAGGAGGATGATACGGATATTTCTTTTTGAGACGAGAGGTGTAGTGTTGATGAATACATATATGAGGAAGCTTTATTAGACAATAATGACCTGACAATTCATGATCAAGGAATATTTTGACGCATTCATCTCAAACACTCGAGTTTATTGAAGAGGGAGATCGCCCATCTTGTACGATACCAGAGATGGATTGCCCAGGTGAATCCTATCAGTGCATCGATTTTCATATTGAAAGCGTACCTGAAAGCCATGACCGAGAATACGTGCTCTACCTAGGTACTTGCAAGTCGCAAGTGAATCATCCACTACCATGACCCCTCATTTCACTCCACCGTTAAACGCTCTCGACTTTGGATATATAATTCAATCAACCCTCCTATTAGATTCAACGCCATTCAAAGACCCCGAAACTTTCAATAAAGAAGGGTTTCGACTCTCCGTATCTAATGACCAAGCAAGCGAGACGTTGGGCTTGACCGACAAATGTGGTGCTCGCTGGCTCCGTGCAGCCCCCTACGTGTGGCTTTTTGTCTTCTATTCTTAGAGATTAACCTGATATTTCGAAAGCGGATTGAAATGGGATGAGATGAGATGAGATGATACTTGTCGATTACTTTTTTTGTTGTCTGTTGACACTTTGCAGTGTTGATTTGTAACTTTGCTATCGTCTGACTGGATATGGTTATTTTGATTCAGATGGTATCCCTATCATATACGATAGAAGTTCCTCCTCCAATCACTCGTGGTTCAGGGTAAATTTCATTCTTCCTTGAGGGAGTGAGTTTTCCAGTTCTGGTGGGTAGACGACGGATAGTTTCTCAGAAGTCTTCTTGCTTTTGGATTCGTAACTTACTGAGTCGTTGCACCTAGTGTGCTGTAGATTCATATAGCTTTCAAATACGAACTGCATCTGGAAACTGTCTTCTATCCACTGTTCGGTAAAATTTCACTGTCCCGTAGGTATGTGAGGTATTGATTCATTTTGTACAGTCATTCACTCATTAAAGAGGGGTAAGCTTTGGGCTTGAGCTGAATCCTGTGTCTTTCCCAGGTTGAGTTTGATAATTGTTTGATAATCTGAGAATGCATTTCGTAACTATAAGCAAGCACGAATGGGAGGAAGATAACGTACTATCAAGTATCCAATATCCCATGACACAATGAATCAAAGGATTTCTGCCCAGATGGGTGTGACCTGAGATATAAGATAAAAATGGAATATGGATATTTGAGATCTAGCAAGCTTTAAAGTTGTAGATTGATGGTAGACTTTCGATAGATCCGCTTCATTTACGATATTTCTTTCATCTTCTTCACCTCCCATGTAATTTTGCTGTCAAATTCTAAGACTTTCAAAAGTAATATCTCACCGTCGCTTCTTCTCAATGCCGTCAATCGAATTATTCCACCCATCTGATCAAAAAATGATTGCCATTACATCCTCTCCGATTCTTGCATTTAAGTAGCAATCTTGTGATCCCTTTACCAAAGTTAGAGAGAACAGCATCTCCGGCTACAGTCCTATGAGCGGGCTTTTTTAGGGTCAGTTGAGCCCCAACTTCAAAACGGTCTTTACTGCAATACCGAGAAGTTTACATCGATATTTCTCTATAGATATAGATATATTTACTTTCAGTGTTTCATCAGCAAGAGAGCAGGTGACACATAGTATATGTGATTCACCCACTATCCCTTCAAGGACAGCGAGGGTGAAAGCCATACCCCGCATTCTGATTTTCAGATTCAAGAGTAGGTCTCTATTAAAGTGGTCCATAAACCCGACCATAAACCCAAGGAGAAATCAGACTTAGCTCAGGACGACGACTTACTGGATTGATTTTTGACCTCACACTCTATACTTTCTCAGATCTTTAGAAACAGTGCCCAGTAACTGTAGGGTTCTGGGCTCAATTTCGACTTATCTATCTGGTCCAAAATAAATAAGATTATCATCAGCGACAACAAATATCAAGTTTCTCACGATGACAGCGAAAAGAGCCTCGACAATATGAGACATGATGAAAGAGCATTACTTAAACCAAGAATTGGCATGTAGATTACTACCTATCTACTTTAAACAAGTGAGCGGGCCCATTTTAATTATGATACCCCAGGAAGAAGATCAACCATTGGGACAAGTATTCGTTGGTGCTAGTTGTGTTGCCCTTTTACTTCAGGAATACAGCCATTATTAAATATTACTCAGGCTAAAAAACCCCCTCGATTTCCCCCAAACCCTGCCATGGAGATGTCGATCACAGATTCATTTTCTTTTTGACACCGGAATAAAGCAAAGTAAATAGATATGATTCACCATCTTTCACATCAATATTAAGGAAATATCAAAGCCATACCCCGCATTTGCCCCTCAAGATCGCGGAGTGGTGGTTGTACAAGCCAAGCAGGCGACTGAGGTGTCTCCTCAGACTGTTAAGCGGGCCATATTCCATACCTTCCAAGGTTATAAAAGATACTTGGAAGACAGCATATTCGGGTCCATAATATCTGAGGCTAAATTTATGATTGTTGGTAATGGTCTCGAGCTCTGGTATTTCTACGGTCTGCAGAAGGCGCGGATTGTGGGACAAGCGATGTAAAAATTGCTAGAAAGTTTGACTAGATGACTAGCGGTAAGTTCAGATAGTAACGAGAATCATAAAATCTGAAATGACAACTATATTTTTAGTTTAATCACGCAAGCCAATTTCTAAGTTCGACTTCCATTCAAGAATCATGAATTTCGCCAATACCGTTCCCATTCCTGGACACGGCAGTCTGCAGTGGTTGCGAACTTTTGTCTCGAGTATTCTGAGACAAAATGAGATTGTAGTATATGATAATAGATATAGATATAAGTTATATTTTTCTTATATATAATATTTATATTTATGTAAGACAAAATATGATACAATATGACCTGACATATGGTTCTTTTTGTATTTATTATATAGAAGATTATTAGATTAACTAAAATCTTTAATACCTAGTCTATATAAACATTCAAAACTTTTGTGGATTGTAGATATGGGACAGTCTCAATGTATCTGGTTACATCCCACTTGCAAATACCAATTTTGAAACCCGAAATTGCTATTATCCTTGTACCGTCATGGTCCGTAGTACTTCCAAGAATCCCATTGAGCTTTGCGACTCTCAGTTCATTCTCTACTTCTCAATCCAAAGTCCTACGGCATTCACTCAAATAGAACGCAAGTCGAAATAGACTAACTCTCTAATTCACTACCCAGAAATTCCTCCATTTCCCTCATTGCTGGATGTGTTTCCTATTTATCCCGTGATAGGACTTATGCCACTACCTACGCAACCCTGACTCCTCCCTCTACTCCTCTCACCTCTATATAAGCGTTCCAACCATGATCAAAATAGAGCAGCTAGATCATTGATAGATGATGAAGATCGCTGGGCTACTGGCACCGCATTATGATAAGGAAATTATGGAACTCTTGATAAATTCTGAAGCACAGTTTTTTCTTTTCATCTGCTAGAAATCCAATTTCCACTGTCATTATATAGAATACAGTGGATTCTCACTACCTTGATTGCTAAGTGCTTCAGATGACTATCAACCCCACCTCCCTGATCGCCCAAACGTTAACACAGCAGCCCCCAAAGCCATTAAGCATTCTCAACCTCAGCAATGGCTTGGAACCACACGCAAGAAAGACACACCTGCGATTGGCCTCGTTCTTTTTCAACTTTAATTGTCCTAACATTAGCATCTGACAGTTCTTATATAGACAATGAATGAGATACCATGCAGCCTAAAGAACCCCGCTAGTATCACTAGCCAGCGAGCAACGAGTGAATGATTTACTTTTTACTCCAACACCTGATTCAACAATCCAGCGACCCCTCTTTACACTGTTTACAATCTACCACTGATATTCCACTATTCCTACCTCAAAACTTACCTAGTCCATAAAAGGCACGATGCTGACGAACAGGAACTTCAAACTCCTGGACCTCCGGTGTAGAGATAGCATCCATGAGCATGTAAAAGTACCTTTTTCTTTTCAGAATGTGGCAAAGATCAGATAGATAGAGAGAATAAGCTTAGACTCGGCAAGAAGACGTAAAGAAGTGAGATTGGATTTGAAAGGAAAAATGGGAGCATGAGTTAATTCCAAACGACAACAACTGGAAGCAAATGAAAAAAAAGGAATTGGACCGACAACAGTAAAGTACCAAACTTAGGTCCAAATAATAGTTATTCCTGACACTAGAATTGCTGTCCGCATTCGCACTTCACACTTCACACTCGAAAGTAACAGTTTGCTTCCTCTCCATAGGTACTTGCAGGTTGTGGAACACCTAAATCGGGTTCGATTATCCATCTCAATTGACTGAAATCGAAGAGGAAATTAGTTCCTCTTATAAATGAGGTAAGATGCGAGATGTGGGCTGGAGAATCTAATAGACCTACAGTGTCCGAAACAATTGAGGATGAGAGTAGCGATGCATACATCATACACTCACACAACATATTATTCACCTACATGCCCCGCTCATCCAACTTGATGAACTCAACATTTTTTCTATATAAACTTTCTTACATTCCAAAGAAGAAACATTAAGCGTAACTAAAATCACCACAATCATCTTTATATGAGTTTGTGGAAGCCACTTCTCTGTTTTTTTTCTTTCTTGGATCAATGATGCTAAATATTCTCTAGAATTTAGCTTTCTCGAGATATGAATAGATCCAAGATAGAAGGAAGATATTGATGACACATGTTAAGCAACATGGCAGCGGTATCTGGAGAATACGACAATGACTAGTGAATATCGACGAAACATGACAGACAACAGTAGAAACAAAGAAATCAG